CAACCACAAATAACACACAGAGACTCTATTAGTTACAATGCTGTCAGCCAATGTCCAGGGCTTCTGATTGGCTAGTTCCATCTTAAGTATTAACTCATAACTATATATATATATATATATATTCTTCTCTTACCAAGGATGCCAGTCTCATGTGTCCCCCTTCCCGGGATCACATGGCAACTCTCCTTGTTACTACATTTCCCAGAATCCTCCTCAACTCCTAGTCCCTCCTATCTTGCTTCCCTATTGGCCAACAATGCTTTATTCATTAACCAATAAGAGAGACATATACACAGAAAGGCTTCCCCCCCCCCCCATCAGGAGGATATTAAGAAACAATTAAAGGGGCCAGGCGGTGGTGGCGCACGCCTTTAATCCCAGCACTCGGGAGGCAGAGGCAAGCGGATCTCTGTGAGTTTGAGGCCGGGCTGGACCGATAGCCTCCGAAACAATACAGAGAAACCCTGTCTCGTAAAAAAAAAAAAAAAGAAAGAAACAATTAAAGATATCAATATCACTTGCTACTAAAGAAATGCAAGTAAGATCATACGGTGATAACCACAAAACACACACACACCTATTATAGCAGTTAAAATAAAAATGAACAGACTGAGGGAATAGCTCTGTGAGCAGTGTCTGCTTCATAAACATGAGGAACCTCAGTTCAGATCCCCAACACCCACAAAAAAAAAAAAATATGGGTTTGATGACCCATGCCTTAACCCCTGGTACTGGGGAACAGCTACAGGCAGTCCCAGAGTTCACGGACAAGCAAGTCTAGCAGAGGAATGGTGCAATGCAAGTCCAGTAAAGGGACCTTTCTCAAAAGACAAGATGAAGGGTCATAGGGGAAAAATCCCAAGGTCCACCTCTGGCCTCTATTTGCATAGACTCACATACCCATACACAAAAGAGAGAGAGAGGGGGGGGGGGGGAAGAAAGGAAGGAAGGAAGGAAAGGAGGAAGGAGAGAGGGAAAAGTGGGTATATCTCGGCAAGTTTGAAGCCAGTCTGGTTACAGAGTGAGTTCTAGGACAGCCAGGCTACACAGAGGAATCCTGCCTCAAAACACCAAAAAGAAAAAAAGAAGCAAATAAAACAAAATGCAATACCAAAGACTGCCAAAGATATAGAACAACTGGATTGTTGAGGGAAGGAACATAGAAGAATGACCACAGTTGGATAATTTCTTATAATGCTAAACATACTGATCCCAATTATTTGGGAGCCTGAGACATGAGGATCACAGTTCAAGGCTAGACTGATCCGACAGTAAGCTTGAGTCTGACCTGTACTACATATACAGAGTCTGTCTCAAAGTAACACAAAAAATATATTTAACTACTACATAAGCCAGAAATTATATCCCTGGGTACAAATACTAGAGAAATAAAGTACACCATGTAAAAGCACACCATGGCTTTATTTTTAATCACCAAAACCTGGCAACAATCAACATGTCCATTATTCTGTGCATAATTAAACAAACTGTGGTAAATTCTATTTTGCGGAATACTAAATGATAATAAAAAATAAATCCAGTTCTGAAAAAACATACCTCTGGAGAGTATTATACTAGGTGAGAAAAAAGCCAAGAGGCGTAAACATAGTCCTATCTGTATGATCTATTCATACAACATTCTTAACATGACAAATCCCAGCGATGAAGAACAGACTAATCCAGCTAGTGGCTGCCAGGATGAGGGTGGTGGGAGGGGAGGACAGCTGAGAGGAAGCACAAAATGATCTTTGGAGAGACAGTTCTGCATCCTGGCTGGGGTGGGACCAGTAAAGTATAAATAAATACAAGCAAATAAGAGGCATATTTAAAAACCCTCAGTTGTTCCAAAAACCAACTTTACTGATGCAGAGTCTACTCTGCAATTTTTTATTAAAAAGTTTTTATTATTATGGGGCTGGAGAGATGGCTCGGTGATTAAGGGTGTACACTGATATTGCAGAGCATCCAAGTTCAATTATCTAGATCCCAAGTCCATGATAAAATAAGAAAAAAACATACCCTAGTCCAACAAGGCTGATTCCCTGATTTTATGATGACACTGTAGTTATGAAAGATGTTTCCCTTAGAGGAAACTGAAGAAGATATACAGAGTTCTTTGTTATGTTGAAATTTACTGTGAACTTTTTGTAAAAGGTAAATTTGAAAGTGACAAGAGTATGGGCTAGTGGGCTGGAGAGATGGCTCAGAGGTTAAGAGCACTGACTGCTCTTCCAGTGATCCTGAGTTCAATTCCCAGCAACCACATGGTGGCTCACAACCATCTACAATTCAATCTGGTGCCCTCTTCTGGCATGTAGGCAGAACACTGTATATGTAATAAATAAATAAATCTTAAAAAAAAAAAGCGTATGGGCTAGCAAGATGACTCTCTGGGACCCACATGGTAGAAGAGAATGAACTCTCACAAGCTGTCCTCTGGCCTCTATATGCACACTGGTGGCTTACTTACAGAATAAATAAATGAATGTAATAGAAAAATTAAGATTTATTGTTTTTAATTGTGTATATCTGTCTGTCTGTCTGTGTGCACACGAGTGCCGGTGCTGCAGAAGTCAGAGGCACCAGATTCTCCTGGAATTGAAATTACAATAGTTGTGAGCTGCCCAACAGTGACGGTTTGAACTCAGGTTCTCTACAATAGCAGTAAGCACTCTTAACCACATAGAGCCATCCCTCCAACCACATGGCAATAAAAACTTCTAGTAAGAGAAAACTGCAGATTAGACTATGCCCCAGTAAAGTTGGTTTTTAGAATAACTGGGTTGTTTTTTTTAATTCACCTCGTAACTTATTAACTCATCCTTATTTATATTTTCCCTGGTTCTGATTTTTGCTTCTTCCTACATTGTTTGTTCTGATTGTGAGCAAACAGATCATTTTTGTAAAGCATGGCATGAAAATCAATGAAAAATGAGAAGCAGTTTCTTGACGCCAGGTACTGTGCCAGGTCCTATGAATATGATTAATTCCAAACAGGTCTCTGCTTTGCCTCCTCCTACACCCTGCACCAGCACCGCTAAACCCGTTTCCATACACAGTCCCTAGTCTAGTTTTTCCCTGTGCTCCGTTTCTTGTTCTTGGCTCTTTCACCAAAACACAAATAGCGATTTCTGAAATAAAAGGAAGAGGACACGAAGCAGAGATCTTTAACCACCAGAAAACAGAAGCCCTTCGTGCTGAGAAGCAGTGGGAGGGAATGGCTTCAAGGCAGCTGAAATTAGACAGGGGTGTGAGGGAGCGTGGGTGGTTGCCTGCTTCAAGCAAAGGAGCTGCTGAACAACGCCCCCACGAGCCAGGCTGTGGTGTCAGATTCAAAGCTGTTGACTTTGTGCTACCATCCTTCACTGTAGCTGCACAAATTCATGCCATTATCCCCAGGAAATATCAGTGCACCCCTAAAGAATGCCGAGAGCAAACAGCGCAGGCAATGGCAGTACTTCTTAAATAGGAAAGACCCTGTGTTCTTTACTGTTCTCATATTTTACAAAGTTCACTGCAAATGGAAAACCCAGTAATCACTCAGGGACAGTCATCAGTGACCATGACTCCAGGCCTCTGGTTTGAGGTGACTCATGGAGGAACAGAGGATGATCAAGAATTTACAACAGTTACTTTTTTCTTAATCTGAGTTTCTCAATCACCAGAAGACATTGATGAGACTGACGTAACCAGCACACAACACACTTAGAGCCACGGAGATGGATCCCGCTCCTTCTCTGGCTCTAGTGTACCCTTGTACAGATGTCCCCTCGTTAAAACTTCAACTCTCAGCCCAAAGCCATATTAAATATCTGTAAAGGTGTTGAGAATGAAATCTAACAGATATTTTTCTCCAAACTCAAACTCCTGTTAGGAACCTGGAATGAAAGGACACACAAAAAAAGTGTGCTATAATTAACACCACAAAGAGAAATCCAAACAATTCATCCCCTAAAGATAATCCAGAGTGGTATTGAGTGAGTTGTTTCACTCAAAAATAGCTCAACACAAATACATTTAAAGTGATATGGGATGAGGAAGCCTCAATTCAAGTTCCAACCGGGGCTGTCTATCTTTTGTGTTTATTCTTAGAATGGCATCTGTTACATATGATTTATTTAATATTTTAATTAAAATTTAAAACTCACAAAACAATTTCTCAAGAGAGTTCTTTTTTGTTATAACTTATCTCTGAAATAAACCGGGAAATATATATTATCCCAAAAGCACATGGGAGACAAACTTCTGGCTTCAGTACACCTACCACACACATAGACTTCTGCAAACTAGTTTCTTCCATCCCTGAGCTTGAGATTCTATTTTGTCATTAAGTTTTGTCAGTGAGGGTGGGAGGTGGGGTCTTTATGATGTTTGCAAGCATGTGGATCATCATACTTTCTTACATTTGCCCTCCTTCCCCTGGCCTCTCCCCGGTAGCTGGAGTTTTCCTGTCCCAACCGCATGCTCCCAAATAACCAACACTAAGGCTTATTATTAATTACAAATGCTCAGCCAATATTCAGGCTTGTTACTAACTAGCTCTTATAACTTATCTCCTTCCATTAATCTGTGTGCTTCCCTGAGGCTCATGGCTTTTACCTCTATCCCATTTTGTGTGTCTGACTCATTCTCTGGCTGGCTGGCGACTCCTCTGACTCCACCCTTGTTGGGGAAGTCCTGTTATTTGCCTGTTATTTTTCAATAAAGTACTGTTGAGCCTATAGGAATCTAGATAGGTGGGGCTAGGAGTCCAGGAGGATTCTGGGAAGGAGAAACACAGAGAGTCGAGATGTAACGCCATTGGGGTAGGAAGCCCGGAAACTTCTCCGGTAAGAAACATACTTAGATTAACAATTATGGGGTAATTACTTAAGTCAGAGCTAGCCAGTAAGAAACAAGCAAGGCCAACAGCTTCATAATTAATACAACGTCTTGTGTGTTTATTTGGGGACTACAAAGCGGCAGAGCCCAGGTGACTGGCGGGGGATAAACCAAAGCGACTAGCAAAGAAAAAGCTTCTCTTAACACACCCTTCCTCGTCCCTTCATTCCCAGTTTGGTTTTCCCATCTAACTTTATCTTGTTCAGCTATTGGCTAGTCAGCTTGTTTATTAAACCAATCATAGCAGCGTATGTTCATACAATGTACAGAAGGATTATTCCACGGCACTCCCCTGCAAAAGAGGACTTTCCCTGAAGTCTACGCCACCCAGGTCAGAGGTCGGAACTCTTGTAAAATGCAATGGGAGCTTCTGTTTGGAGTTGTGACGAATGTCTACACTTCACTTGTATGTGTAGAGATCATGCTGGGCTCGGCAGTAATCACTGTGCTTCAGAACCTCCTTAAGTACAGGAATGCTATGTATGTAATCTGAAATGTCCTGACACACAGGCTTCAGTGTTTGAACTTAGACTCCCGCTAGATGGCGCTGTTTAGGAAGCAGTGGGACCTTTGCAACTTACATCCCTGCTTAGAGAAATGGGTGGCAGTTAGCCTTATAGGCTATATCCACCGGTAGCTCCAGCCTGAGCTCTCTCTTTTGAGCTGTTTTAGCCACTCAGTTCGTGGTAGTTTGTTATGACAGCCTCAGAAAATTAATACAGTTGCTCTTTTGCCCTCCTCTATCAGCAGTACCTGGTTTGTAATAGTTCAACGTAAATATATTTATTTTTGTATTTTACAGTAGTGATACAGCAATAGACACACAGTAAACAGATGCTGACTTCTGAAATCTGCAATGTACGTACATATGCATATGGCTATGCATGCACATGTGTGCATAAGAAGGCCAGAGGGCAGCATCGGGTGTCTTCCTCAGTTGCTCTTCTGTTTTGGTTTTGGTTTGGGTTTTCTTTTTCAAAACAGGGTTTCTCTGGCTTTGGAGGCTGTCCTGGCACTCACTCAGTAGACCAAGCTGGCTGCAAACTCACAGAGATCCACCTGCCTCTGCCCCCTCCCTCCCCCCCCCAGTGCTGGGATTAAAGGCATGTGTCACCACCGCCCTGCTGCTCTTCATTTTTAAGGCAAGGTCTCTATACCTAGAGCTCACTAATTCAGTTAAACTGGCTGGCCAGTGGGCTCCAGGGATCTGATCAAGCTCTAAAGGAGCTCAACTTACAGATATGTGCCATTTGTCCGGCTTGAAATTTTTCTACCTCCAAAAGGAATCCCCATTAAAAAGCTTGGCAACTTTTGAATATATCCCCTCCACTATTCTCTCAAATCAGTAAGTCTAAACAGTTTCCAAAGCCCTTTCAATTATTTCTGAGAAATATTTCCTGAATTTTCCTTTGCCTCCCCCACCCCCATCCTCCAAGACTTAGCCCACTCATCCCTCTTCACTGCTGTTTCCCACCTGACCTCACGGCAGTCTCTCCCGAGTCCAGCAGATCCTACTCACAATAGCGTCTACTGAACGTGCTGGGTCTCTGGTCTCTGCCTACTCTTTGTAATACAAAGAATTTGGAATGTTTCTAAAGATAAGTAAAATGCCTCCAGTGTCTCTTTTCCTGAGCCTTGCCTCCTGCAGTTCTCCCAACAACCTCCCCACACATGCTTTAGTTCATACCATCACTTGCCGTCTCCTGCCTTTGACTATGGGTTTACCCACCCACAACTCCTCCAGCTTGTTTACAAACTTGTACTCATTGTGCAAGATCAAATTTAAATAATTCTCTTTGGGATAGTTCATCATGAGTCACCAACTTAATTGTTCCCTTTGTTATGTTTTAAGCATTTTGTATAGCTCACAGAACCAGGAGCTTGAGATGTTCTTTTCAAAAGAACAAGAGAGCGACTCTTATTTTACTCAGGAGAAATAACTATCTTCTCCACACTGTGAGAACAGCAGTCATCTTGAACTCCAAATTACAGTGACTCGGAATGCAATGGGCACTCCCTTTGGTAGCACTGTGGTTCCTGTCTCCTAGTATCTTTATGTAAATTCTTCTTTCTGATGAGTACAGACAGAAACCGTACTTAGTGCTAACATTCCTGGGATCTCGCTCTGGTCTACTCTCAGCTCCAGGGTCCCTGTGATGTCCATAGAAAGAATAAAGACAACATGCACAGGATATAGTGTGGAAAAGAGTTTGCGGCACAGTGCGTGTGTGGCACTCTTAAAAGATGTGAGTGAGCATTCACAAAGCTCCATCAGCTCCTGGTTTTGTAAGGTCTCAGTTAGGAGGCAGGAGGACATCTCCAGTGACCTTCAAGCCTGCTAATATCTGGCCAGCTACCTAATGCTAACACAATATGGTAAGCATGCCAGAATATACCTTCCCTGACTATGTTGCATTACTTGGCAAAAGTGAATGCATTTTGCAGACATTATTGTTTGCGTTGCTTTAGTGGGATGGCAGGTGTTGTGAGGCAGGTATTGGCAGTAATAATGATTAAACCCAGAGCCCTCCACATACTAGCGCTTTATGAGTTACGTTCTGTGAGGGCTAAAGTTATGTTTTAAGTTTAAATTATTGTGTTTAAGAAATCTAAAAGCCGTCTGCTCCGGACTCCAAGAACAAAGCATGGTTCCGCCCAGAGCCAATGATGGACTGAGTGGGACACGGAGACCCACACGTGTGCATGGAACAGTCCACCCCCATCTCTGAGAAAACATGGGAACACCCAGCACCTTGTGGCACCGGGCACTATTATAGTAAGCAAATCCATGGTGTGGCATGGGAAAGAGTGAGACAGGGACAGAGGCCTATCTGAAGAGGTGAAAGCGGGGAGGAGCCGGCCGAGTTGGCTTGATTGCCATCCGGGGCCACGGTGACGTCTGAGCGGGGGCTGCTGCCAGGGCCCATGTCTGGGTTCATGGCCCTGTTGCAGCTGAGGTCTGTGTTGATTTCCATAGCACCGGATACCAACCACTGAAGGCCAAGAGGATAGGGCTCTACAGAGTCGGCCCCGCCCCTCACTGACTACAACACCAGGGAGAACTTGCCCTGCCCCTCACCAGCAGAAGTACTCAGGTCCTACACCGCGCCTGGGCAGCACAGTAGAGCTGACCCTGTAGACGGAGGTGCAGGTGAGCCAGCCCTGAGGACATAACAATAGCCTAGAGGGTACTGCTCCCCTCGCCTGTGGTTTGGTGGGGAGGGTGAGGGAGAGATGCCCTCCTGCCTCGAGCCATCGGTGCAGCTGGTGAGAGCTGATCCTCCCCTTTACCAGCTGTAGCACTGGGGAAAGTGGGCACTGCGCCTGTCTGGGCATCACAATGGAGATGACCCTGGTAACAGGGGTGAGGTGTCAACAGGGACTTCCTGATCCCTCACCTGCTGCAGCACTTGGGAAAGTCAGCCCTACACCTCCTCTGGGTAGCACAGTAGAGTCAATCCTGTTGGCAGGGGCATGGGTGAGCCAGCCCTGAAGTTGTGAGCATGGGAGAGCTGACCCCACTACCCCTCTGTCAAGATGCCCCCTCTTAACCCTTGGCCCTCACCACCTATGGCAGACAAGGAAGCTGACCCTTGCCCTCACCAGCTGCAGCATTCAGGAAAGTAGGCCCTGCTCCTCACCTGGGCAGCACAGTAGAGCTGTTGGCAGGGGCACAGGTAAGAGTGGGCTAGCTGGCCACCCCCCATTGTCTGTCATGTGATGGTAGGAGCTAGGGAGAGATGCCCTCTCCCCCTCGCCCCTGCTAGCCACCTGACGCAGTGAGGGAGCTGACCCTCCCCCCCTTATCCGATGCAGATTCAGGAAAGTGGGCCCTGCACCTCACCTGGGCAGCACAGTATTGCTGACCCTATTGACTGGGGTGCCAGTGAGTCAGCCCCAAGAAGGAGAATGTGGGAGACCTGGCCCTGCCCCTCGTCAGCCATATGGTGGCATGGGTTGGGAAAGACCCTGTCCCCCTCCCTACCCCTTGCCACCTGAGGCAGATAGGAGAGCGGACCCTGAGGTCATAAGAGATGGAGAGAGGACCCTGCCCTCACCAGCTACCGCGTCTCAGCTGGACAACACAGTAGAGCTGGCCCTGAAGGCACAGGTATAGGAGAACTGACCTTGAGGGTGAAAGCAAGGGAGTTGGTCCCATCCCTTTCGAGTTGCTGCAAAGGGTGAGCTAGCCAGAACAATGCAGGAGAGCTCACCCTGGTGGTGAGGACAGGGAAGAGCTGGCGGGCTGACCAACTCTACAACTACCCAGGCCCACAATCAGAGTCTAAGTTGGCCCACTCAACACCCTCACTATCTATGATCTGTTAGAGCACTGGACGGGGTATGTCCTATAGATCCAAAGCTGCAGGGTCTCTGCACAGGGCAGCAACAGGATATCCAAGAAGAGCCCCAGTGAGGGCCCTGTATTGATTGTGTAGTAGAAACCAGAGACCTTGAATTAAATCAATGACTATTTGCAGTGAACACTTGCAAGTATATATGGATAAAAGGGTATACTGCATGACTCACTGTTTCACACTACAGCTTCCAGGACGAGATTTAAGATGAGATTTTTCCCCCACTTAAATTTTGTTATTTTATTTTGGGGGTGGGTTGTAAAGGGTAGAGGGTGAATATGAAGGGACAGGGAGATGAATGACATCGAGATGAATGACATCAAGATGAATGACACAAAGAATAAATTTTAAAAAAGTAAAAACCCATAAAACAAAAATGACTCCAACCTGTAAGCCCCACTTGCCTAAGGATGGATAAGTTCCTAGAATGTTGGGGGCCTTTGTTGATATAAGAAAACAAACCACATGTTTTTACTTTTTTAAGGAAGTTTGGTTGCCCCAACTGCACAGGATATGCTTGTGTGAGAACCAAAGCCAAATGCTGGAAGCTGTTTCCATTCTGCTAAACAAGTTTGCTTGATCCATCTGCACCTGCACTGGATGTGCTTGATCGCATATGGGCAGGAAATACGTCAGGATGTATGTTCATCCCTGATTGGATGAGGGGGAGCACAGGCAGGAAATATGCTTGTCCCTGATTGGACCTGATAGCCTTGTGGGGTTGCCTTTTGAAACCTCTGCAAAGTGTGTCTTGTGGCCATTTTCTGGGAACCCAGAGATGGACCTGGCCAGAGTCCATCAACCTGGCCAGTATTTAATCAAATTTGGCTTTAAATTGTAGTAACAGTTTTATTCTTGACTGGTAGGATTAATACTTGATCACACATGGGCAAAAGGGACATAGGCAAAAGAAGTACATCAGTATGTATGCTTGTCTCTGATTGGACTAAGGTGGGAAGCCTTGTGGGTTTTGCTTTTATAAGCACTAGACTAACATAATTTGTAACCATTCTCTGGGAATCCCATTTATGGATCTGACTAGTGTCCATCATCCTAGCCAGTATTTAATAAAGATTGCTTCAAATTTGGCTCAAAAACTGAGGTATTTGTCTTATTTTCACCCAGTGGGACCAACAATTCCCCAACTGTGAGTTTCACAAATGTTAATAAGTCCCCCAGGTTACTTGACCTTACATATAATTGGAAGAAATGTTGTACTGGATTATCCTGATATAATTCCTAAAATGAATAGGAAACGAAGCAGCCAGGAACAACAAACTGCCAGCCAGGCATGGTGGTGTTCACCTTTAATCTCAGCACTCAGGAGACAGAGGCAGGCAGATCTCTGTGAGTTCAAGACCAGCCTGCTCTACAAATCAAGTTCCAGGACAGACAGGGCTACCACACAGAGAAACCCTGTCTCATAAAACAAAACAAACTGGCATGTATCCTATATCCTATAGTGTAAAGGAGATGAAATCTGCCTGTAGCTCAGGGTGGGAAAGTAGTCAAGTTACCAGAGGACAACCACGGTTTGACTAACACTTTGAGTCAACCTGAACAGAGGACCTAACTAAGTATTCATAGACTTCTGTCCTGCAGAAACTGTGACAATAAAAGGGTATCATTTTGATGAGGCTAGAGAGATTACCTAACAGATAAGAGCACCAGGTTCAGTTTCCAGAAATCACATGGTGGCTCACAACCACCAGTAACTCCAGTTCCAGGAGATCTGATGCCCTCTTTGGGCCTTTTCAGGTAATGCACACAAATGGTACACATTTCTTGGGAAAAAAACACTCTTACACATAAAATAAAATTATTTTTCAAATATTTTTGAAAACCATGAAATAAAAAGAGGACAAGAATACTCCTAAATTATGAAGACTTTTACTGTACATATAAGGAAGACAAGAGGCAGACAGGAGAGTTCAGGCTGACCACGACCGGCAGACTAAACCAGACCATAAGGGGATAGAAGGGGAGGGAGAGCAATAGAGGAGCCATCACTCCTTAAGCCAAGAAACCAGTGTAGCCAAAATAGCTGAGTTATATAGGGATCTGAAGCTGGGGAAAGGGAAACAGAAGCCCAGCCCCCGAGAGAGGGAGGTTTAGGGTATGGGACCGGGTGAGAAAAGCCAAAGGAACCCCAGGTACCGAGTGAGTCTTGTCGTGTGATTCTTTGAGTCCTAACTATTTTGAGCCACAAATTGTATGACAGTTTATTATACAGAGGTAGAAAACTAATGTGGTGGGGAATTTGGCATGGACTAGAATCTCTAAAAATAACGACAGAAATTCTGTCTGTCACTGGAGGCACAGAGCTTTATTTGAAAGTTCTTGGTCTAATGAAAGAACTTAGAAATAGACACAGATGGGAACTTGAGGACAAGTTACCAAAATCAAAAACAAAAAGAAACCAGGCGGGTTTCATGAGTGTACTGTGTCAGAAACACGGACAGATATGTTTGTACCTTTCCATACTGTCAGAATTTATTGAATAACAATAATGTGGTGGTATAAATTACAGTGGTCCTCATAGGCTCATATATTTGAATACTTAGTTCCCCAGTTGGAACTATTTAGGAAGATTTGCAGGTATGGCCTTGTTGGAGGATGTTTGTTCCTGCGGGTGGGCTCGGAGGTTTCGAAAAGCCCAAGCCATTCCTCTTAGCTCCCTCTACCCCCTATTGTGTCTCAGAATGGGAACTCTCGGCAACTGCTCCAGTGCCACGCCTGCCTGGCTGCAGCCACACTTTGCACCATGATGATGCTCATGGACTCTGTCTTAGTTATGGTTCTATTACTGTAAAGAGACACTATGACCACAGCAACTCTTGTAAATGAAAACATTTATTTGGATCTGGCGCATACAGTTCAGAAGTTTAGCCTATTGTTGTCATGGTAGGAAGCATGAAGGCATACAGACAGACATGATGCTGGAAAAGTAGCCGAGAGTTCTAAGTCTGGATCCACAGGCAGCGGGAAGAGACAGTGAACCACTAGGCCTGGCTTGAGCTTCTGAAGCCTCAAAGCCCACCACCAGTGACACACTTCCTCTGACAAGGCCACACCTTCAATAATGCCACTCCCTATGAGTCTATGGAGGCCATTTTCATTCAGACAACCACAGACTCTAACCCTCTGAAACTATAAATCCCAAATAAACTCTTTTTCCCTTGGTCATTGTATCTAGTCATAGCAACAGAAAAGTAACTAGGATAAATAATTCACAAGCTATATCAGTTCCATTGGCAGTAACTGGCCAAGTAATCCCATTCCTTTGACAACTAATTGCTAGCAAATACAGATTCTTTTATTTCAATCTTAATTGCTAATATTAAACCTTAGATCACATATGAAACAGTTTTCATCGAAGGAGCACAAAACTGCCCTCATTCTAGGGTGATACACAGACCTTGGGCACAAGAGTGTTTTATCTTTTCTATCCAAGCAAGGAGGAAGTATTTGATCTCAATATTACTTGGTTTCCCATTGCAATTAGCTCAGAGTTGCTGTGTGTACTGGAAATATGTGATTGGATCAGCTTACCTTTTGGTTGGTTAGCCTTGAGCCAGGAAAGAAGAGTCAATTATATCTATTCTCTTCAGTTTATCTCTTAGTTTTATGGGCAGTGTAGAGCCCCTGTCATTGGCCTGTCTTCAGCCTTGCAATTATAAGTCTTCACTACTTATAGTAAGGCAGTACTCTCCCAACCTTGATACCTGATGAAATTTATTTGCCTCCACTATGGTCTGTCTATTCACTGAGAACCCTTTAGATAACTGCTTTTGTTGGGATTACTATTGCTGTGATGAAACAAAAGCAACTTGGTCTGGAAAGGGTTTATTTAGCTTACACTTCCACATCACAGTTCACCACTGAAGGAAGTCAGGACAGGAGTTCAAACAGGGCAGGAACCTGGAGGAGGAGGAGCTTGTGCATGAGCCATTGAGGGGTGCTGCTTACTGGCTTGTTCCTCATGGCTTTCTCAGCCTGCTTACTTATAGATGCCACAATCACCAGCCCAAGGATGGTACCACCCACAATGTCCTGTGCCCTCCAACATAAAAGACTCATTAAGAAAATACCCAACAGTAGCAGTTCTCAACCTATGGGTTACAACCCCTTTGGACATCAAACGACCCTTTCACAGGGGTCACCTAAGACCATCCAAAAACATAGATATTTACATTATGATTCACAACAGTAGCAAAATTACAGTTATGAAGTAGCAATGAAAATAATTTTATGGTTGGGTCACCACAACTTGAAGAACTCTTATCAAAGGGTTCCAGCATTAGGAAGATTGAGAACCACTGCCCTACAGGCTTGCTTGCAGCATGATCTTATGAATTCATTTTCCTAACTGACGTCCCCTCCTCTCAGATGACTTAAGCTTGTGTCAAGTTGACATAAAACTTATCTAGCACAATCAGAGTTTTAGCTAGAAGTCCTCTTAGCCTAACGTTTCCTGCTTAACATCCTAGCCACTGTCCTCTACATGACTGCTTGGCTACAAGTGTCCACTCTTCCTACTTGTGTCAGCATTTCAGTCCAACCTCTCTCCTCTACTCAAAATCTCATTACATCAGTCCTCATATGCTGCGGTTTTATTTCAACTTGACACAACCCTGAGTCATTTTGGAAGACAGAAGTTCAATTGAGAAAATGCTGCCACCAGTTTGGCCCATGGGCAAACCTGTGGTGATATTCTGTGTAAGATCTAATAAAGCTTACTTGAAGATCAGAGTGCAAAGCTAGCCCCAGCCATACAGGCCAGGCAGTGGTAGTACACACCTTTAATCCCAGCACTCAAGAGACAGAGGCAGGTCGATCTCTGTGAGTTCAAGGCCACCCTGGGCTACATGAGAGTGAATCAGTCTAAAAAAAAAAGAGTCACACCTTTAATGCCAGCACTATAGAGGTGGAGACAGAAATGATATGACTGGGTGAGAGAGGAATATAAGGTGGGAGGAGACAGCATTTTCTGATTGATGATTATCATGGCACAGTCCAGATCACTGTGGGCTGGGCCACCTCTGGGCTGGTGGCCCTGTGTGCTATAAGAAAACAGGCTGAGTAAGCCATGAGAAGTAAACCTGTAAGCAACAGTCCTCCATGACTTCTGCTTCATTTCAGTTCCTGCCTCCAGGCTCATGCCCTGCTTGAGTTCCTGCCTCAACTTCCCTCGGTGATGTACTATGATATGAAACTACAAGCTGAAATAAATCCTTCCCTCCTCAAGTTTCTTTTGGTCGTGGTGCTTTATCACAAAAATAGAAACCCTTGCTAAGATACCAAGTTAAATAACGCTGTTTGCTTCCTCTTCCTCCTCCCAAAATGCTAGCCAAGTGTTCTAATGCTGAGCTAAAACCCCAGCCCTTCTGTTTGTTTTAATGTATTCTTTTATTTTAAAACACCACACATAATACTAAAGATAAAAGCATTAGTAGGTAGATAAACA